CAAGCTTTAATGCTGAAATGAGAAGATTCTGGATTTCCTGCTAAGAAATGTATGGTAATTCTAAACTCCTGAGATATGGTTACCATGCCATTGCTAAGTAACTGACCACATCACCTCATCCACACATTAAATGACATCATAATGCTCCACAGGAACCATGACATCATGTATTACAGCACAGATGTTCGTGATGATAACTGGACTGAGGTTTTCTGTATCTCAACATCAGGACAAAAAGCACATCATATATTTGCTTATATGGGAATTATGTGCAATGCAAAACTGTTTATACCTCCTTGTTTTAGTGTTGTGATAATGCATTTCATAATTAACTTGTTTTTTTTTCTTCTGTGATTTACGTCTATATTACAAATCTGTGAGTATGATTTATGAAAGTAGTTTTTATACAGACTACACCCCATTTCTTTTTTTTTTAAACAACTGGTCTGTGTATATAAAAAAGCTGACCAACCACAAACTCTTATTTTGCACAAACTAAGGTGTTGCAGTATAGACTTTTGTAAATTTGTTTTTCTAATGCATCATTCAGTCATATTGTAATCTAATGTTAATTAACTGTACTATGAAAACTGTAAAAAGTGTTAATTTGTTCACACATGGTCAATAATTCTGTGTTTAGTATTGCCCTTATATATGTTTAAATATTTCTGAACATGGCATGGTGCTTTTATTATTGCCTAAACGTTGTATGTCACGTCATGTGGTATGTGACGCTATTCATAAGGGCTGCAATGTCATTAACAGCCAAACAAATTATGGTAAATAATATTTAGAGGAACTTAAAATCACAAAAGGCTATATACAGTTGTCTTACAACTTCAGTTTGGAGCATTAAACATTTCACAATTGGTATAAAATTTGTCGTTGGAATAAAGTAGTATACTGTTTCTTAAATGGGAAGATTTGTTTAGAGAAAATTTGAGAGGAAAAACAGTATGTTTGTGTGAATGCACATCTGTTTTGCATTTGAGGAAGTTTCTGACAAAATGGTTAGCTTTAGATTTTCTGAGTACACAGGCAAGTCCAGCTAGCTTTGTTTTGTTCGCACAGTGGCCCGTGTGTACAGACCTGACAGTGCAATGTTAGTGTCGTCTTTTCAGAAAGCCTTTTGTTTACATAGGTCCATTGTGTGTATATGTGTGTTGACACTGCATTTTTAAATACACTCCTCCTTTGAGCTCATCTCTATGGAGACAAGTTTACTGTATCATGGCGAACCCCTAAAAGAATTTTCAGAAATGCATGTAAGATTGTTTGTATTCATTCACTACTTCCTGAAGCAGAAAACGTTATATGATCTAGGCCTACTTAAAGTAAATCTGAACGAAAATGCGTTAGTTTTGCCACAAGCACAAATACAGTAAGTAAATATAATATTGGATCCATGAGAATAACTGCAGTTATACATGCAGGAGGGGGAGATGTTTCTCAAAGACTCTTCATCTAGTGAAAAATCAATCCTGACGTCTCACTGAGAGAGGGAGAGATGTGTTACAGTGATTGAGATTGAGCGCAGCGTTACAGCGCCATCTTGAGGATACTGTTGAATTCAATTGCTTATTTATGGACGAACTGTGGAACTATCTAAGCATTTTCGCAGCTAAGCTTTTCATTAGGATCATAGACTATGACAGAAAGCAGTGATCATTTACTTCAGTTACTTTATGATAATGTATCTAATATAAGATGAAGCTGTATAATTAAGGGAGATTGTAACTACCCCTCACAAAAAAAGTAGTGATGTCGTATCAATATCATGGTACAAAGCAGGATCTGAGAAACTGACATTCAGCCAAACGATGACAGTATCATAACAGAAACAGACCAAGTTCCATATTAAAACAGAACACCAAAACAAGATTCAACGCACAACAATTAGGATGAATTAAAATGAAAAGTGTGTAGGCATAATGCAAATGGGTTTTTGCGTAATTTTAATTAATTTTAAAATTACTTATTTTAATTGGACTTTTTATGATTTAATTAATTGTTAGCGTTGAATTAAAATCACAAACCCCCTGCAGTTAATTTACAAACCCCAATTTAGGAAACCTAGATGTAATGTAATGTTAAAGCATGTTGTTAATTATAACAAATGGAATATATTTTCTTACTCTTACTCTTTTATATCAATATGTACAAGATTATCTTATTTAAATCAATGTGATAAACAAGTTAGGTCAAAAGTTATCGAAAAGTAATCTAAAAGTTGTCTGATTATATTACCTAAAATGTGTAATGTAATGGATTATGTTACTAACTACAATTTTTGTCATGTAATTTGGAATCAGTAGTCTAATGTAGAGACCTGCACTCCCGCGGGAGGACCGCGGGACCCGCGGGACCCAACGCAACAGGGTGCGGCGCGGGACAACTCTTGATGGGCGAGTGCGGGTGCGGGCGGGAAGAAACTCGTGTGTGTGCGGGATGCGGGAGAATAAAATGATTCGCGGGACTCCCGCAAAATAGAAATGATCTAAACATAAAGTGTTTAAAACGGAGCGGGCGGGCGCGGGACAGAATCTTGCGGGAGCGGGACTGAAAAATCCGTCCCGCGCAGGTCTCTAGTCTAATGGACTACAATTTGTAAGTAGGCCTAATCTATACCCAGCTCTGAGTGTAGACAACTTAATTGATTATAAAGGAAATTTGTGCAGCATTTAGTGGTTATAAAAGGAGTGCACTCCGTTCAGAATTTGAATAAAAGTTTTGTTTTTTATGCTGCACCACGCACACAGTTTCGGGAGCGACATCGGCATATAAATGCGAAATCACTCTGGAAATTGTAATAAGTGAATTGATTCTGGAACCGGGACTGTCGTAAACATGAGCCACAAAAGCTTTTCAGTTTCATCACCAGCGACAAAATAATATAAAACAATACATAGCCTACTATAATACAAATGTGTAATGTGTGGCATATTAAAGCTCATACTCACCATTAAAATAGTCGTTTTACGGAATTACGCATGGAACCGGGTACCAGTCATCAAATTCCTAAAATGAACATTTTAATCAACTACGAAACTGCTGGTATTCAGCAGCATTTAGCTCACAGGAACTATAGAGGAGGGTAACACCTTTTACCAACAAAAAATTAATATTTAATGCATTAATGCATAAAGTAGGCCTACACAAAATGGAAATTGTACTGTAATTACATTTATAAATGACTACTAAAAGCACACACAAAACAGCACCCAAAACTTGAACAGACCTACTTCATTAATTATTCAAATACAACACCCAATGGCAATTTTGGCACCCAATGGCAGAACTTTTCAGTATTTATATTTTTGTGTTAAAAGTAGTTTTGTTTAATAAGATATAAAAATATGAATAATTAATGAAGTAGGTCTGTTCAAGTTTTGGGTGCTGTTTTGTGGGTGCTTTTAGTAGTCATTTATAAATGTAATTACAGTACAATTTCCATTTTGTGTAGGTCTACTTTATGCATTAATGCATTAAATATGAATTTTTTGTTGGTAAAAGGTGTGTTACCCTCCTCTATAGTTCCTGTGAGCTAAATGCTGATGAATACCAGCAGTTTCGTAGTTGATTAAAATTTTCATTTTAGGAATATGATGACTGGTACCCGGTTCCATGCGTAATTCCGTAAAACGATTTTCTCTAAGTAAAAGTGAAACTCAAGTTTCAAAGTTGAAATTTTGAAAAACTGTACTTAAGGTCAGCGAAGAAATATTTGTAGCCTACTTCGTTTTTATCCTCCTCTGCCCTCAGACACAAAAACCTGTGTGTTCATTTGTACAGAGCGCACATGATCCATCTTAGAGACACAGAGAGACTCATACAGCTATCTGCCTGTATAAAGTACGAATATTTTTATATGACACTGAGAACAATTTGTAGAATCAGATCTAGATCTTAAAGGCACAATATGTAATTTTCGCCACTAGAGGGCGCGTATTCAAAATAAACAAAGAAGCAAAGGTGTAGTTTGATGATGCAGTGACTGAGTGTGGAATCATGGGAGTTGTCGTTTTCATCCCCACAGCCGACACAATCCGACAGGAATCAGGCAGAAATCATGTTCATAGATGAGCTAATGATTTATTAACGTAGTAGAATGAAGCAAGGTGAGGCTGAAAGCCGTCGAAGCGAAACGAGGGCGCTGAACGAGCGCGACACACGGCTCCAAAGCAGCGGAGCTTTTATTATGCCACAGTCAACTGCTTCTGCTCCTTCCGGTCATGCGTATGTGGGAAAAAAAGCAGCGCTATTTTATCAGACTAGATACGTTTGAAAGTTCTGTTATAATGCTACTCTGTGCGGTCGTCACCGGTCTAATAAAACGCACAACATATTAAAGCGTCTTTGGTGTTTCCATGTTTTCTACAAAACAAAGCCGGAAATCGAGGGGTTATGACATCATTGGCAGGCGACACAATGACACTACGGTGTCAATAGTTAAAATTGCTTATTTCTCTGGATTTAAACATTCTTTGAAACATTTGGGATAATGTAAGTACACAAGTCAGCAAAAAATATATAACACTGTTCTAGTGGTTTTTGGATATTTTAATAAAAAAATCTTACATATTGTGCCTTTAACACGTCGATTCATTACTTGTAAATTGATTGAAATAAGCCCATTTTAATGTCATTACGGCATGTGACCACTAGAGGGAGGTATTTCATTAAAAACATAATCCCTACACAGCCTAACAATAAGGTTTTATAGAATTGAACCCGTGCACCTACCTTAACAGCGTGTGATCCCTTCTTCATACTGTGCTTAATAAAGTTAATATAAGATAATATCCGTGTTTTGTAACTTCTACTTCCACTCTGTCCATTCATTAGGTAGGTATATCAAATAGAGACAACTTTGCAAGAAATGTTTTACGGAAACATGAATCTCTCCAGTGTTTATTGAATATATATAGTTATTTACATATTTCTCAAAGCACTTTCTCACCTTATTGAGGCAAATTGTTTTCAAAAATAAAAGTCACATTTCAAATTCATCAGCCAACCAGTTGCAGTCCAGTGGGCGGGGCTAAGGCTACCTGGCTACAGACCTATGCCTAGACACACACTCACACAAGGGCTTATGTATTTACCCTTACACACACACACACACACACACACACACACACACTGAAATCATTTCCGCTCTTCAGGCCATTGTGTCTAGAACAACAGTAACTGGGACGTGGATTGAGACATTGACATCACAATGACATCACTCCATTAACCGGTTTAAAGCTGATGCAGAAAACTTGACTGTGCTCTTTATTTCTCCATAATGATTCTTAACATTCTGCATCTTCACTTTGATTGGCTGATAGATTGATTGACTGATATATTTGCAAGAGTGAGGTTATGAACAGTGGTTGTGCAGTTCTAAATCTCTCTCGATGAAGACGTATAAAATCTAAAGCCATACCTTTATATCCAGTGACTGATGGGGGAAAGTATAGGAGGAAGTCTGAGGACATTTGAATTTTTCAGTTACAGACTTTATGCAGTCTTTGTTTAGCTGCATCTGAAGTTCAAGGGTCACAGTTACATCACCGTACCTCACTGAAAAAAAACAACTGACCTTTTGCAACAAAAATGTCATGTTGCCATGGACACACAATACTGCTTTGTTTGGATTTCCAGAGGCACCAATGATTGGTGAGTTGAATTTCTGACCTTTGCTCTGCAAGCTTGCAGGTAGGTGGCATTGAGTACCGTTCAAGAGTCTAGTTTCCATTGAGGGCTGAATCTGGATCTTTGACCCAGGGGAGCGGTGGTTTGGTTAGGGCTACCTGACCTTCTGTAGTTCCTCTCTGAGCCAGGCCGGTAGCGGCTGACCCAGTCTGTGCAGCAGCTTAGATAATTCAATGTTCTGATCCCTGTAGAATCTGGAGAGAAGTGCTCGTGACTAGAAAAGGAAAGAGTAAAAAGAACACATTTTTTACTGTGCAGAACAGCTACAGACTTTTGTATAGAATATAGGGGTGAAATGGGACACATTTTCAATTTCAGTACGGGTCTTTTAGTTTGGCATGCACCTGTACCGAACAAATGTTTTGACTAACTTAATTTGAAACTCCTTTTCCCCCTAGCAACTTTCACAAAGGACTGGATATTGTTGGTTCAGCTAGCAAGGGCTAGACAGTATATAGATTTTGTAATTATCAATTATTTTCAAGAAAGATGGGTCAATAATATTTACGTCAATATACTCTGATGTTGCGAGTGAAAAATAACAGAGGACACAGACTGAATTGCTTCAGGAAAAGCACACAGTCCAAGTTGTCCTAAACAAGACGTGCTTAAAGCAAGTGCTTCAAACGAACTCAAAAGCATACAGTTTAAATCTTCTTGATCTCATGTCAGATGCATGATATGTAATGCTTTTCTAAAGGTGTTTTCCTCAGCACATAGCTTGCGTCTTATGGTTGTATTGTTATGTGTAAATGTTAGGAAGTAATGTGAGTATTTCCATTTTGCATAAAGATTGGCCTGTGTCTGTTAAAGTTGTTAAAAATAATTCAGGCTAAAAAACACATTTTGACAAAAATATTTTGCATCTAAAAATGGAAGCACTTCAGACATCTGTTTAGTAAACCACTGTTTAATAAAACAGGAAAAACAAAGGAACTTTGTTGTTTTTCACTGTACCAAAAACATACCAAACTATGACTTAGTACATACTAAACCATCATTTTCGTGTACCATTACACACCTAATAGTATATGTACAATGTTATTAAAGGGATAGGTCACCAAAAACAACAACAACAAAAAAACATTCTGTCATCATTTATTCATCCTCATCCCATTCCAAACCTGTATGAATTTCTTCCTCTGTGGAACACAAAAGAAGATGTTTTGGGAAATGTTTTTTTGGCCATACAGTGTTGTTTTGAACTCCACTGACTTTTACAGTGTGGACAAAAACAGTTGAAACATTCTTCAAAATATCTTCATTTGTGTTCATACACTCTCAGAAAAAAGGTACAAAAGCTGTACCTTTAAGGTATAGACCCTTTAGGTACAAACTGGTGTAGCTTTTGAAAAAGTACCTCCCCAGCTTTTGTACCTTTTTTTGTGAGAGTGTAGGTTTGGAATGACACAAGAGTAAATGTAAGATTTCTTTAAGTGAAAAAATAGAAGAAAAATATAGAAATAAGAAGTAAGAGTCAGAGAAGTTCTGTAGGTATCAGTTATTCAGTACATGAGCTACAGACATGTTAGCTGTTGCAAAATTGAACAGTCAGAGGTCAGAATGAGTTCTCTCTCTCTCTCTGTGACCCATATTACTCAGTGATGGCAAACCTCTATAATGCAGCTGTAATCATTAAAGATTAAAGGCTCCATTTTGCTCAGAGTTTGCTGTTGTTAGGTGGTACCTCAGAGTCCATGGGTGGGTATTTGCGGCCCTTACTCTTCCCCAAACATTTAGTCCCGCCCCCTTCCAACAGCTGACACCAAAAGCCCTTCTGAGGATCAAACCTGTGAACAAAGAGATAACTATTTACAATCTAAAAGACTTCTTTCCTCAAAAATATCTTTCCAATTTGCAAATTCATTGTAATATATAGCCTACTGTATATACTGTGTCCATCAGTCTATATTAAGTCTCTCGAAACCTTTTTGATTTCTACACTCAGCAATGGAGGAAATCTGGAAAACTCCAGAACGTTGTTACACACACACACACACACACACACACACATACACATAGATCTGACTGACAGATGTCTGCTGTAACCTTGTCTGTCTGTCAGATGAGACATGGCCTGGTTTGATAAGCATTCAGAAACGCATCAGCAATCTCTAACACATCTCAGCAAAATGTGATAGAAAGAGTGTGTGTGAGTGTGTTAGTGTTCTTTGGCAAAGCAGTAAGCAGAGGGTACTTTGAAACATGAACTATGACACATTTGTGACACAATGTATTTTTTTGTTTTGTTTTACTCACTCACTGTCTTCTTTTTTTTTTGGTCTCACTCAATCCTATTTCTTCTCCCTGCTCTACAGTTTTCTTTGATATTCTGTCTAGTCTCAGTCCCAGAAAATACAGAGAGAATAAAGAACATAAAGAGCCTTTTTTCTAACTGGGCACTTTTATATCCCCAGGGTAATTTATTTTAAAACCAAGATTTTTTTTTTACTTTATGAGTGTCATATTAAAATTGTCTTGAAAACTTTTTACTACGCTCTATTTTTTATTTTTTTTTAGCAAGGTAAAAACATGTTATTTAAATGCCTTGGTTGCACCCTTAAAATATTATTGCTATTTCATAAGTGATAATCCAATTAAAAAATTAATATGTTAGTGTACAATAATTTATATTAATTTAAAAGTTTTATAAAGTCTTATCAAAAAAATAATATTTAATCATCTGTAATTTTGTCAAATTATGCATTCGAAGCTGATTTGGGAACATTCAGATCACACACTGCTCAGTAAATGTAGATTCTTTATTTATAAATCAAAGCCAGACAGAATGTTTAACAAACATCATTTGGATTCTTTGTGTGATACAATCAACAAGCACCAGCTGAGGACTGCAGGCCAGTGGCTAAAATTGTTTTACTATTGAATTACTGCAAATTTGTATTTTCTTGATTGCAAGTGAAGCCACAAAAAGAAGTGATAGTAACTGAAACTGACAGAAAACAAGAAAAAGTAGAAACCGGCATGATGAGAAAGAGAGAGAGAGAGAAGAGATGTGTGGAGAGATGAAGTGAGAAAGACTCAAACAGAGGGAGGTTATTAATAAAAGCCAAAGATTGATGGAGCTGTCTGCAGTAGAGAACACATGCAGAGACTCACAAAACGTTCAAACGAGAGAGAGAGAGAGAGAGAGAGAGAGAGAGAGAGAGAGAGAGA